CCCTCGTTTTAAGTTTATAAAAATTTATTATATAAAAAAACAAGACCAAATTTACACGAAAGAAGTAGCGTTGACCATCCATTTAGTGTTTCGAGTGCATGGTGACAAAAAAGAACACTAAGAAGCTGAGTGTGATATTTCGATTAATTGTCACGTGACTAAAGCCTTTTTGTGCGATTGGATGAAACATGTCGAGTGTATTGTTTGGCGAAATTTTGAAAAAGATAAATTGCAACATTAAATTGCAGACAAAATTTAAACGGAATTAGTTTATCATACAAATATAATTGAATGTTGTTTGTTTTGTTTTTACTCTGAAAAAATATTCAAATCAAAAACTTTATGTGATTTAAGTTATGATGAAATAAAATTACATGTAGTTTTCGAATATCCCTTACATTGATTGTACTATGTCAACATAGATTTAGTTAGAAAAAATATTTTTTAAATAATACTTAACCATTCCTGCCTGAAAATTGCCTTTAAAAAGATTTCTGTAACTAGTGGTAACATAAATTATGCAAGAGTCAAATTTAGAGCGCATGTACTGTGTGTATACGTTTAGGAATAAAAAAAAAAAAAAAAACGAAATTCTGTGCTTACTGAATAATATAAGTGAGTAAAAGTAGCCACAATAATTAAGGCAGATTGCTCGAAGTGCATTCAACATACTTAACTGGTTTACTTAAGAAATATATTTCATAATACTCGTGTGCTACGTATAGGACCTCTTCTTGCCTCTCACCACTCGGAAATACACTTCCGAACAACCAGAAAAAAAGTGATGCGTCGCTGTTTTAAAACGCGACTTAATTGGCCGTCGATGTTTGACCTCATTGGGAAGTTTACATTATTATTGCCTTGTCACATACAGGTATACTAGGGTGTTCTATTAGTGTGGTTACCGGTCACCTACATTATCAAAGAAAAGCCAATTAATATACTTACCAAAATATTATTATTACTTGGTTATAGACAACGGATGGACATCGCTGCCATGATAGTAACTGCATGTCCGACCGTATGGCGGCACTTGGCCTAACAGTTAATGAATATCATCGTTTAGGGTTAACTCCCGCAAGTGGCGAAAAAAGTGTTTGGTTGGTATAAACAAAGCTTTTGAGCATCAATAGAGATATGTGCACACTGGCTCGCCTATGACGTAATCTATAGGATCACCCACGTGGACGGGATCGGTTTCAATGGTTTTCTAAGTTGACAAACGTATAGTAGTAGCCCACCGATCAACAATACCACCGGTAAGTGAGGTAAGTTGAACGTGGGTGGCTTGCTATAGTGTGTCATATTTTTCGTTTTTATTTTAACAATTTTATCAAACGCCAATACACTACCTTATTATTGCGTGTTTGTAAATTCTTCTCTTTTATTCACCTCCTCGTCTTGTAAAAATTCACTTAATAATCAAGCCATTGATTTTTTAAATAAAATTTTAATGTATTCATTAGCAAATTTCATTAGATATTTTCTTCAACATTAAAAAAAATATATCCAACGTAATATTTTATTCTTTACGAATACTTTGCACTTTCTTTGTCATGGGAGTCCAGAATCAATACAAATTTCCAATAAAATTTTTCATTATTTTTTTCGTGGCTCCCCTCACTGTCAGTGAATTAAAGACCTTACACTACTCCCTATTCTATATTTAGATCCCCTGAAACAGCTTCAGCCCCCGCCCGATAGATATTTTTCATATATCTTTCTAGTGCATTTTTAATGAGAAAACAACGATTTCCGTCCAAAAATTGTCAAATAACGGAGATAGAAAAAAAAAAGCGAGATCCGCATTGGCCGGAGTTTTATTTTATTACCTTAAATTTCTACTGATGGGGGATTAGCGCGCTGAGCGTGCAGGAAGGCGAAACCCTTATACTAGTATAATATACATACCTATAAAACGAATGGAGTAGAAACAAGTTTTGACTTACATGTGTCTCGTCTTGATGGTCATTTGACATACATACAAATATACATCCATATAATATATACGTGTCTATAATATGAATTACATGTCGAAATCTTTGAAAGATAAATATGGTCGCGGAAAATCCAAGTTGAAAAAAAAAAAAAATAACTATTACGTTTCACATTTTTTAAATTACCAAAGCTCGTGTAGGTACAACGTAATAATTATAGAGATTTATGTGGGGCTTTCCCCGCAGTCTCACCACAATATAAGTGAAAATTAGCTTGATTTCCCCGACATTATAAACGTAAATTCAATATAAAGTGCAGGCCACCAATACCTTTTCCCCTACACAATACATAAGCCCGTCAATTTTTATTGCTACGCTTTTTAATTCCATTGATCATTTTTATACAGTGTTTTGGGAGTGTTTGGGAGTGATGATGGTTGTCAAGAACAAAAGTATGTAATGAAAGTTTTAAAATATTAGTTAAAAATGCACAAAAGAAGATATGGATTAAAAATGGAAAAAATAAATAAATAAATTTTTTTTAACTTATATTATATTCTAACGTTTCAAAGATTTCAACGTATACGTATATACGTGTACAATACACACGTATAGGTATCTGATGTATTGTAACCCGCCTTTTGGGTTCGGCTTACAAGCTAGGCTATATACGTATTATATGCCAAACAGCAGCTTATCTCTTTCTTCCCTCTTTCTTTATTTCTTCGTGTTCTCTTCTTTTTTTTTTTTTTCTATTTTTTCTTCTCGCATTTATATATGGCCGGAGATTTCGAAGAGGGACTAGAGGGCGACTGGGCGTCCTAGGCGACTAGCAAACTGTATAAGTATAGGGTGCGTAAAGTGTCGTGTGTCCACAAATTTACAATACGTATATACATACCTAAATACCTACTCGCATACTTTATACATCAGCACGATGGCGTCACTATAAGAGTGAGGGATGTATGTGGTCGGGTTTTGCTCCCATGTGCCCGTGGAATTTTTTTTTTTTTATTCGATACTTTTTTACCCCTTCAACATGATAAACAATTGTTTTTTAATAATTAATTTTTTGTGACAAATAACAAAATTGTGGTTGACGTCAATTTTTTTTCTAAGTTTTTGACTTATTTCACACGAAAATGATTTTCTTGTAAACTTGTCAACTTTTGAGTAAAATATTTCTTAAAGTTAAGAAAAAAAAGCGTATTTTTTATCATTTGTCACTCTATTGTTTTCAATTTACCTGAACCCAAATGTACCTTATAGCGTGTACTTATAGATAAAAAAAGATTTATGACGTTTCGTTCCTAGACAACTACGGTATTGCGATCAACCCATGGTCGTTTTTATTACTTTTACGTGCCCTGGATATAATATACTTCTGTATACATTTCATATAACTGTGTATGAGTACAAGTGTTATGTTGATCAACAATACTGAAAGCAGCTGTCTGTATAGCAAAGAGTAAGATTTTTTTTTTTTGTCTAAAAAGTATACGCTATGGTACAATTTTTTCCTCGAAAACTAACAAGTTTACGAAAATTTTATAGGGAGATCATTTTTGTTGAAATAAGTCAAAGAATCCAAATAATGTAAATTTTTCTATTTTTTATTAACAATTGATTGTTAAAAAATTAGGGCAATTATAATTTACCGCATGCAGGAAGTCAAAGCTCTTAGTTTAATCTTTCAATAATCAATTTAGCTTAATAACGCATAAGGGTTTTAGTCAACAGAAAACCATAGCATAATTTTAACAATTTTTCTATCTCAGCTATTTACGAATGATACCCAAGTTTAAAGATTGAGTATTTTCCACATTCTCAAAATTTTTTTCATTTCTTTTTGTAACTGTTTCGACCGTTGACTCCAATATATCAGTTATCTTTGCAAACTCATAAACTTTTGTATTAAAAAAAAAAAAAAAAAAAAAAAAAAAAAAAAAAATCCAATTGTCCTTACAACCTATTTCGTAGACACATATGGTACATTCAATCACGTGTGTGTATTTAACATATTAGCTAAAGTATTTGTTAAAATCTATCAAGCTCCGAGCCGATACAGAGGTTGCGCCCCCTCTAGCCAAAATCAGGCAACATTTCTTGCATGTAAACAAACGGTTTAGAACATATATACATACGTACAGCTGCTTGTGATTGGCACTTGGCAAGCTAGAGAGAGAACGACGATCCTCTCCTGCTGTCTTATTCAGCCAATCACAAGCAGCTATACGCATGTATATATGTTCTAAACCGTTTGTTTACACGCAAGAAATGTTGCCTGATTTTGGCTAGAGGGGGCGCAACCTCTGCATCGGCTCGGAGCGTTCAATGATTAAAGACACGTAGGTTTTTATTATTAGCCGACGCGGCTTCCACTAACTGTGAGTGCCACACCTATATGTATGCACAAGAATTTTGTTAAGCTTTGTAAATGATATTGATGGACATTGGTGGATAGTGAAATCAATAAATTAAAATACACAAGGTACTTGGCACGTTAAGGTTTTTGTTTCCCTCAATAGCAAAATTTTAACTCTAGAACGTATTTTAGGAGCTTTAAATATTAATTACAACGTCCTAATGTATCAATCAAGGCCCTAACGTATAGGGGAGCACCTGTAGGTATATATAGGTACACATTTGCTGCTTCAGCTACTTAAATGAAAATCCCAATATTCAAATTCAAATGAACATTTTTGACGCTACCGGGTGTCGTATACTCTCAACCAATCAAAGTGTACCGAGAGTAGTCTCTAGTTAAGCGATACAAATATTTATAAGTAGTATTTATTTATACTGTAGTATTACTTATCCATGTACCTATCTATGTATATACAATATATACACCACCATACATGTACACGTGGTGTCAGTGACAGTGACAGCAGTGACAGCACTTATCCGGCCAGGCGGCCAATACGAAGTTGACAAATAAGTAGTAATAGTAATACACGTTATTGTATTGCAACACTACATGCAACACTTATAACTTTGAGTATGTGTTGTAATTGCTAATGCAACTCAGTTTCACTTTCACCCGGCGAGTGTTAGCTTGTACATCAGTCAAAAAACAGCTATTCCCGTGTAATTTCACATTATTCTCAAACATGGCAAATAAAACGGCGGTCTGTTTGCTGGCCGAGGGTGCCGAGGAGATGGAGGCAGTTGTCACCGTTGATATTTTGCGGCGAGCTGGGGTAAGGTTGAAATTTTTCAGAGCACCGCAAACCGCGCAAACGTAACCTCTGCTTCCGATGTTTATCACCACGTGCTAAATTTTTTTTTTCTTTTTTTGTTTCAATTATAAGTATACCTTGTCGGTTTTGTTCTTTTCGCACTTGTTACGTATGCAAACTATCTGTTTTTTTTTTTTTTTTTACCAAGAGTTAAAAAATTGCTGTGCCAATAGTCAACTCGCATTTAGTGGGGCATAGCGAAATTTTTCAAGTCCATTTTTGTTATTAGGTTGATGTAACTGTATCTAGTATTACCGACGAAAAGTGCATCAAATGCAGTCGAGATGTAAAAATTTGCACTGACTCCGTAATCGCCGATGTCGCTAGTAAAAAGTTCGACGCTGTCGTTCTTCCTGGTGGAGTTGGTTGGAAAAACTTGGCTGCGGTAAGTTGTTTTTGAGTTTAACTTTATCAAGTTTTTTATACATCAAAGTCGAAAAATTTCGTTGAGAGAAATGAGTACAAAAACTCATCGATTTTATCTTGGAGGTTTTTCACTGCAAAAAAAAGTACCTAGTCAAAATAACTTTTTTTTTGTACCATGATTTATGCACTAGTGTACTTCCTATAAAATGGTCATTATACTTGGGATACATTGTTTTAATGGCTTCTATATCATTCCCGACTGTTTTAAAAAAAGGGGAGTTCAAGACCATAAAAGCTTACAACCAAGGAATGCAAATTACTCAATAATATTTGTATCCCTTTACAGTCAGCCAAAGTTGGTGAAATACTGAAGGCGCAAGAATCGGAAGGTAGAGTTATTGCTGCTATATGCGCTGCTCCCAGTGTTTTGAAGGCACACAACATTGCTAAAGGAAAGAGAGTTACTTCTTATCCGTCGGTGAAGAAGGATCTTGAGAGCGATTACAGTTTCGTAGAAGACGAAATCGTTGTCACAGATGGTAATTACATTTAACTATGAATTAATAAAATAAAATTAAAAGAAAATCTTGTGTTTATTGAATTTTTTTTTTTTTATAGGCAATCTAATCACAAGTAAGGGTCCAGCTACGGCATATGCTTTTGGTTTAGCGATTGCAGAAAAGTTAGTCGGCAAAGAAACGGCCAAGAAAGTAGCAGATGGTTTGCTGTACAAAGACTATAATTAAAGTTGGAAAATAGAAAAACATTTTTATCTTATCAAAAGTTAATGCGTTACGTTTATTTTCGTTTGCCATGTAAGTACTTTTTGGAAGAAAAACCATGTTGAATGTAATTTTTCAATTTTAAAAATAAATATCACACTTAAAAACTACAGTTAGAATCCGTACATAAATGCGTTTGGGTATGATTACATCAATCATACAAAAATAGTTTCTTAAACTATAAAAATATTTTAATTAATTACTTGGTGGGCTTCAGTTGAATATTTCTTAACATACATAAATCTCGAGCTATCGCTTTGCGACCCATTATTGTTTGCACATCATACAATCGGAGTAGTAAGTCAGTCGTGAAAAATTCGGGAAGTGCTTTGAGTAAACTTGGAACCTAAAAAGCATGAAATCAGAATGAGCATATAAAGAAAATAAAAATTTATGTTAAAAAAAAAATGCATTTACCAGTGTTGAAGGCATTTTCTGAAGAACAATCCGAGCCCTGTCTTTTCCACATTGTACTGTCAATTGCAGGAATTGTAAAATAAAATGAGTGTGCTGCGAAACTTCCCCGTTTCTGCCAGCCAAAAAGTTGAAATTCGTAAACAATGTGTTTAGTGCGCTGAGTAAAGGTTCTCGAAGAACAATAGATTTTTGGCTATTTGTTGTTCCTTGAGACTGAGGGGAATTTGTAATAAATATGGGATTTGAATCGTTTGCTTCATTCAGTCTTAAAATCTTTGCAGCTGGCATTCCAAGGTCCATATCTTCGGTGTCGACGTCTTTTCTAGCGCGCTTTCGATTATGTATTTGCTGTGGACTATTATTACTAAACTCTAAGCTAGAAAATATACAATAAACACAAAGCTTTGCGAGAGCTGATGCTTGTGGTTCGACCAACTTTTTTCCTCTGAAATTTTAGTAACAATAATTAAGATTTTAGCTCTAAATGTTTAATTAATGCTTGTTCCTCATAAAAATATGTGTACTTACTGCAAGGTATCATACAAGTATTGCGGGAGGACCTCGTTTATTAGATCTAATGTGCAATTTTCGATATCTAAATGCAGAATTGCAAAGATCAAATCCAAAGATCGGTCAAGTTCCTCTTGATACTGTATTTTTAATAATTCTTTGACCAAGTTTGAAACGAACCAAAGCGGTCCACCAGTCTTAAGCAGCGATTCGAGTGACTGTGTCGCTTGAATGTTGATCCAACCGCGTTGATAAATTCCTTGCCATATTTGCTGAAGTTGTTGTAAAATTGAAAACTTACACACGACGCTGTAACACACATATAAAAATGTTATTTCTCGTAAACTTGAATAATCGTAAAGTATGAAGCTGACATTTTACCTGTGAGATATTGAGAGTACTTTTGTTTTAGACTGGACTTCGTACTGCATTTTTCGAATGATTTGAGACATCAAATTCGATCTGAAATGTATAATTCAATTGGCAATCTAGTATCACAGAATGAAATAACAATTTAATCAATGTAGTAATGAATAAAAATGATCGTACCTCTCCTTAAAGTTATCCTGCATTTCATCGTTGGGACTGGACGACAACAGGACTTGTATCATATTGTAAGGTTTGACTTGTGCATCCTGGTGGGTGATACTCATGTAACTACAAAGCCACGCCGCTGCGCAAACAGACAAGCAACAAGAGGAGACGCGTAGGCCATTGAGCGTACGCTTGACGTCTGCGTTGCTCAAGGCTCCGCTCTCCCAAGCATTCAACAGTTCCCTTGCAACACCCATGACTGTTTGGCAAGCTACATGCCATTTTGTATTATTATTGGATTTAAGGTCCGGCTCAAGAGAATTTATTTGGGCGAGTAGAAGGTCCACCTTGGATGGATCAACGTTTTGCACCATCTTATAAGGAGACTTGGGCTTATCTTTCAGAGGCATGCACTCGCGCACCCATTGCTCAAAGAATGAATCACCACCTTCCTCCAGAACCACCTGATAACCAAGTATCGTTTGATTTGTAAATAAAATAGTATGTACGAGGTATCTGATTATGGGTTGTGATGTCTTACCTCAGGTCCATATGTTTGAACAATTGAGCACAGCATTAAGAATGAAATTTCAAAAAGCAATGCACGGGTCGTCACAGCTTTGCCAGGCACGTCATTGATCTGTTTACTACACTCGTTGCACTTGATTAATCTTGATACAAATGTTTTCATTTTTCCTTCTACAGTTGCAATGGACAGCATCAGCTCAAAACTATTCCCAGTTAATACTTGACAAAGCATACTCAGCAGGGCATCTTGAATTTTTGTGTATTCTGCATTCAAAGTTTTCAAAAAACCAGCCAAAGTTGGTTCAGCCCGGATTATTATAGCCCGAATGGATGAGCTAGTGTTGGGTGAATCAAACTTTTGCATGGAAGTTAATAAGCCATCTCTGTAATGTAGACGAAAAAATTTAATAAGAAAGTCTCGGTGGTATTTAGAATGTATATTAAAAAATCATTACCGTCTACTACTTATTTGCTTAGCTTGTTTTTCCGTCACTAAATTTACTTTTTGTAATTCATTCAATAAAAACTCAACGCTATTACCAGCGCAAATTATGTCCATTTTGTCTAAAAGTGGTGTATACCTAAGTAATAATTCGAAAGCGTCTATAACATCTTGAGAGTATTCAAAATTATCGTTTTCTATTGGAGTAATATAGCATAATTAATCGATGCTCAATAGATGTGAAAAAAAAATCTACAAAAAGATTGATCAACTGAACAAACCGTTTAAAGTGCTTGCATGCAATTCCTTTAAAATTTGAGGGAGTTTGAAGAATGAGAATCCACCCCAATGTGATTCTTTGAATGTACCAGTAACATCATGTAAACACATCATACATGCACGAATCACCTCGCAATACAATCTAGCATTGGAATAATTTTTCAGTCTTTGAATACTGTGTAAATGACTAATGTACAATGATGTCTCTGTACCAGGATTGACTAAATTTTGTACTGCTAGCAGAGGTTGCAAGCAATACGTGATAGGCTCGGCATCAACTTTTACATATTTCGAGCTATTCGAAGCTATATTCTCTATTTCTAAATTGCAAAGCTTTTTTAAAGAATCATCAATTGCAATTGAACATTTGGAATTACTTTTTTGTTGTTCCTTTTCTATCTCTTGACATTTCTTAACAATATCAACATACAAATCTGAAAATTCAATACACGCGTTGGAAAAATAATTATACACTACTAAAAAGTTGGTATTTTTAAATAGTATTTGATATCATAATCGTACCTTTGTTGTCGTGCTTAGCAGAATACAGCATAGCACAAATAAAATCAGAAGCTGAAAGTTCTTTCAAGAGGTGAGCTGGTTTGTCCATCAATTCCGTTGGTTGAGGAGCTAATGGATTACCATGAGGTGCTTTGGTCAATGCATAATGATAGCATTGTAACAACCAGTAAACAATTGAAAGACATGCTGCTGCTAATGTGTCTTCTTCTGGTTTACCTCTACAAGTTATACCAGCATAAATCATTTCCAAAAACTCTAAAAGACTCAAAATACAATGCGGCTTGTGAAAAGCATCGTATTTACTGATTCTTTGAAGTACAGCAGCATAAGATACTAGCTGTAAATAGGAAACAATACGTTTTTCATAGTCATGGAGATTATGTCCTCTTTATAAATAAATAGTATTAAACAGCTAAACATACTTGAGAACAAAGTGAATGCTTCAGGTAAGAAAGAACCAGTTCATTAGGACCTGGACCTACTAATGCCTGTTGCAATATACAATCAGCTAAATTATGTACATCTCCGCTCACTCCTCTTGGTAAAATCTGAAAATTTACAAAATCTAACCTAGTGAAAGTGGTAAAAACTTGGAACTCGTGAAAAATGAAACCACAGTTTGAAGAAACTTACCGTTTTAATATTGATGCCCCACTGAAGATCGCTCCATCTCTCCCGCCATGCTCTTAGCAAGAGAGCTTTGAGACTGCTTGTTTTACTTGTAACCTTACTTTCCATGGCTAAGCCAAGCAAATTGCACATACTTCCTCTTAAATACTTATCACCTTTCTTAAACGAGTTAAAATTTTATGCTAGACTTTGTGTTGGTATTTTTAAATGACATATTTTTCCACTTCAACACATTTTTACTGTATCAAAACTTTTCACGGAAATGCACTCGATTTCAGTAAATTTTCACACAAGTAATGAGTATAATTGAAGGGACAGAGATTCAGTATATCATTTAAAGTTCTCTTTTACACAATTTATTCCTTTGAAATAACACAGACATTGAGTGATGTCAATGTTGTATAAACACACATCTGTCCAGTAAACTAAATCATAAAGTGTTGTATGTAACAAAAAATGTTCACTAATTGTTTGCTAACTAGGAACAAAAAACTTATTGTTTGAGCCTCGTAATTTTTATACGTTATTCAAAAATAAATGATACTTTATTGTCATTTTTAATGATTGTTCATTATGGCAAAAATATAAACTTAAATGGTAAAATAGTTACAAAAAGTATGAGTTGCTTTTGAAGAAAAGGTCAGAGAGAATAATAAACTAAAAATTAGACTTTCTTTGATAATTTTGTTTTCACACCGCCTCCTCAACTTTTGTGATAAAAAGCTGGTGTACCTGTACGCAAGTAACCAACAACTGTTTTAGGTATACTTGACGACCATTGGCCATAAAAACATGCAGCCGCCTTTCGCAAAAATTTTGTTGGTCAACACAGCCTCTGATTTTTTTTTATCATTCTGGTAAAGAGAGAGCACGGTGTAAGATATACGTGGAGTGTTATGTGTAGTAATTATAGTAATCACTACTAAGTAGTGCCATGAGGTCGATTTTACTAAACTATGTGAGTATCTATACTTTTAGAGGTCGATTTTCGGGCAGAAGATAATTTGTAAACTTGCCGCAAACAGCACGAACAATGTCAACTTATAATTGTCTACGTATAAAATTGGTTGCGGCTGGTTTATATGTAATAAAATGGCTCTACTGTAAATTGTAATAATTACTTGGATCAGCGCCATCTAGCGGTCTTTATTTTTTGGCCAAAAGTGGCTCCTAAAATTCTCAATCAGAGCAATCAGGATAAGAGCCATTTAGTCAACTATAAACCAGCCGCAACTCAAGAAAAAGCTATAAAATGAAAAAATAACGATATATGTGTTTTTGGCGGCAAGTTAACAGTTTATTTTATACCAAAAAATCGACCTCCTATGTATTTATGCTTTTGAAGATAAATTTTTGAGCATAAGATAAATTGTTAACTTGCCGCCAAAAACACATATATCGTTATTTTTTTATTTTATAGCTTCTACATGAGTTGCGGCTGGTTTATAATTGACTAAATGGCTCTTATCTTGATTGCTCTGATTCAGAATTTTAGGACCCACTTTTGGCCAAAAAATAAAGACCGCTAGATGGCGCTGATCCAAATAATTATTGCCATTTACAGTAAAGTCACTTTATCATTTATAAACCAGCCGCAAATAATCTTATAAATAGACAATAAATAGTTGACATTTTTTATGCTACTTGCGGCAAGTTTACAATTTATCTTTTATCCAAAAATCGACCTCTACAAGTAAATAAATATTCCACTCATCTTGTATGGCATATAAAATCTACCATATTTACAAAATTACAATACTTTGGACCTTTTACATTAACTCATGGAAGCACAGCCCTTTAACTTTATTGTTTAAATAAACAATTAATTTATATAATACGTACATTCCAAGATTTGTGTTACAGAAATCTTGAACAACGATTAAATAGATACGTAAAGTAATCAGTCGAAAAGAGACAACTGAAGAAAAAAGGCTTAAAAAAGTTCAGTCACACAGGAAGAGTCTCCTAAAAATGGAGCATTGGATCTCACTTAATGAGAGTTGTTTCAGATATACAGAATGTGAAAATTCATAATTTTATGCTAAGGATTTGTGTTTTTTTGGATAATAAAGAAAATTTATTAATCAAACATAGAGCTTTATTTGTTTTACATTTAACAAATAATTGATGATGATTATACAAGCAGCTTTTAAAACTTATTGTAAGTCTGCAGAAGCAGATTCTTCCCATCCTACCTTGATTAATTTTTTAATTTAAATGACCTTGTGTGTACACTGTTGAATGATTTCAAATATTAAAAGTTAACAAGTTGTTTTATGTAAAACAACTACTTTAATATTGCAATAACAAAGTTTGATAACGCACAAGTTAAAAGTCTCAACTAGCATCAAAAACAGTAGAATATATACGTGAATTAATGAGTATAAAGGAGACAACTGAAGAAAAAAGGACTGAAAAAGAAGCACAGTCACACTAAGAGTCTCCTAAGAATGGAGCATTGGATCTCACTAAATAAAAAATACATTCATTACAGAGAAGTAAATTTGAAGTCTTATAAACAAACAAAGAACCCAACCTTCACTGATTAAGTGAGATTCAATGCTCCATTTTTAGGAGACTCTTCCTGTGTAACTGAACTTCTTTTTTAAGCCTTTTTTCTTCAGTTGTCTCTTTTCGACTGATTACTTTACATATCTATTTAATCGTTGTTCAAGATTTCTGTAACACAAATCTTGGAATGTACGTATTATATAAATTAATTGTTTATTTAAACAATAAAGTTAAAGGGCTGTGCTTCCATGAGTTAATGTAAAAGGTCCAAAGTATTGTAATTTTGTAAATATGGTAGATTTTATATGCCATACAAGATGAGTGGAATATTTATTTACTTGTAGAGGTCGATTTTTGGATAAAAGATAAATTGTAAACTTGCCGCAAGTAGCATAAAAAATGTCAACTATTTATTGTCTATTTATAAGATTATTTGCGGCTGGTTTATAAATGATAAAGTGACTTTACTGTAAATGACAATAATTATTTGGATCAGCGCCATCTAGCGGTCTTTATTTTTTGGCCAAAAGTGGGTCCTAAAATTCTGAATCAGAACAATCAAGATAAGAGCCATTTAATCAATTATAAACCAGCCGCAACTTATAATGAAGCTATAAAATAAAAAAATAACGATATATGTGTTTTTGGCGGCAAGTTAACAATTTATCTTATGCTCAAAAATTTATCTTCAAAAGTATAAATACATAGGAGGTCGATTTTTTGGTATAAAATAAACTGTTAACTTGCCGCCAAAAACACATATATCGTTATTTTTTCATTTTATAGCTTCTTCATGAGTTGCGGCTGGTTTATAGTTGACTAAATGGCTCTTATCCTGATTGCTCTGATTGAGAATTTTAGGAGCCACTTTTGGCCAAAAAATAAAGACCGCTAGATGGCGCTGATCCAAGTAATTATTACAATTTACAGTAGAGCCATTTTATTACATATAAACCAGCCGCAACCAATTTTATACGTAGACAATTATAAGTTGACATTGTTCGTGCTGTTTGCGGCAAGTTTACAAATTATCTTCTGCCCGAAAATCGACCTCTAAAAGTATAGATACTCACATAGTTTAGTAAAATCGACCTCATGGCACTACTTAGTAGTGATTACTATAATTACTACACATAACACTCCACGTATATCTTACACCGTGCTCTCTCTTTACCAGAATGATAAAATCAGAGGCTGTGATGCGCAAATGCTGCCATCAGCAGTTAAGTTAGGTACGTATATATAGGTCGTGGTAACGCTGCATGATCGTCACCAGCAAGTATCTATCCCTCGCATATACGACTTACCGATCTAACGATAACGTAGAACACACCCCAAAATTACTTTCTATGCTATGGTAATGATGGTGGAAACCTATGGTGACGATTGCGGAAAACACCCCTTATTACCATAGCAGTAGGTGGTGTAGATTCAACCCAGACCAACTGTAGGTATAGTTGGGTGAGTTTGAGTCAGTGTTATCTAGTGAGAGTAGAAGCAAAGACACAAGGGGATCGAATTAAATTCTAAATCTCGTTCTCGGTATCTCGGTTAACTTCTAGTCTCGCTGATCGGCTGATCTAAGTGATTTTGCATCCCTGGCGCATGTGATTTATCTTTATCAGGATGTCCGATTATTTTATTCAGTCTGTTTTTCCGTGGAAAGTGCGTGTGATGTGTGCTGTGCACCCTGCATGACAGAGAACAACAATAACAACAACCAGCTCCAAAAGTTAATAGTATAAATAAAACTTTAGTACGAAGCTACTTGTAAACTCTTGTATTGGCATCTGATAGTGAGCCATACACACAGCTGGGCCTGTCTGGCTTGTTCCTGGTGCACACTAACGCGCTCATTGACTCTGAACAGCTAAACAGCTTAGCTTAACTGCATATAGAGATTGACACAGTTGACACAGATGAGAACGAGTCAGCCAGAGGTAGACTGGAGGAAAGAGGAGGACGTCCAATTAAACGGAGTGTTATACATATAGATACAGGGCAAACGAGGACGCGCGCAGCAGCAGCAAAGCATATAGCGCAGCAGCAACAGCAGTGACAGCAAAGATTAGGTGGCAGAGGAGTCCGGAGCGGAGCTGGATCGCCCGAGCAGCTCTCCACCTCCTCCAGGGCGTCGAACGCCCCAGCTGACGGCTTCGCTGCTGCCTCCTGCAGGCGAGCTGCAGCTTGTTATACCATTCGAGTCAGCTAGTCCTCCCCCCCCCCTTCTCACTCTCTCTTTTTCCCTTCGTCCTGTCTCGTTCTAAAAACAAAAGTACTTCCCACTAGTACCCATATTTTTTCCCAGCTTTTGCGCACCGAGGGGGCTACAACAAATAGAATAGCTCTCTCGCTTCGCACATTGTTTTTTTTTCTCAAGCTCCATTTTATCTCTTTCTCTCCCTCGTTACCCTCCATTTATCCATTCTGCTGTGTGCCTCGGCTGCGCGCTCAATGGATTCACCCGCGCGACCGCCCCAGCCAGCAAAGATGGTGAGTCTCGTGCGCGCTATTGGTACATGATCAATGATGTATGTGTGTGTTTGATTCGAGTGTCCAATGTCCAATTCTTTAGATTGCTTTGCTGTTGCTGTCCCATACCAAATTAATACCAAAATTTGATCCTATCCCCCTGTCCTTCCTTTCCCTTATTTTCTTGAGGCTCCATGCATGCAGGTGGTGATAAGTGATGTGATGTATCGTATCCGATAATCCGATGGTCCTTTTATTTCTTTGGCTTGCTAAACACACGCACTCGCGTGTCAGCAGGAAAATTTGGATCGAGCAGTCATCAAAGGATCCACTTTTACTCACTGTTTGTTTTATTTTTTTTTCGCGCGTCGGTATACCTATCAGTCTCTAGTGTGTCTCTAGGTAATGTATGCGAGTGTATGTGTAAGTACAGATTGTGTGGTCAGTGGTGTGTATGTTTATCTAGGTATCTATATACGACCTGTACTTTACAGGTATTAGGTTTAGTGTACTCTCGTTTTTTTTCTCCTAGTATACTTATATCCGTACTTACTATTGGAGTAAGTAGTATGGTGTAGTATGTATGCCAATCTTGCGACCCCTCAAATTCTCATTCTAATAAACTATTGCTATTTGTGCTGGTAAAACGCTTGACTTGTCCATATACCTACTTACCTTCTGCGAATTCTGTATTTTCTTCGAAGTTTTTATACCTATATAGACAACCAAGGCAAGCATGTTATCCGTGTTGTGGATAGTGCATATGCCCTTGCGGTTAGTATACACTTTAATAAAAAAAAAGAAAAATCCGTGTTGTGGCACGGCACCAAGTATAAGTTTATGGATCAATTCGGATGACCCGAGTGTCTGAAAGTCTGTAATAAATAAATCTATAAAAAATTTACCCATACGTAGCGCATAAGTACAGACGTACCAAATATACATATAAGTACGTTGCACCGCTACGAACTTTGACCTCCAAATGATGAATGTGCTGAAAAAATTCCTGTTAGTTATTTACAGTTTTGATGTATTTCATTGGAAAAGCTCTTCATGTTATACAGGTAGTTGCCTGTATGCTTACCTCTTTTGTACGACTGTTATACTGTTATAAGTAGCGCCATGATAACGAGTTGAAACTGTTACCCGAGTCAGGGCAGAGGTGTGATACGTAGTGTATTTTTCTTTGTGCATGCTAAGTACTCACATTAAGTCAAGTTAAAATGGAACCTATATCATCACCATATTATAACTTGAGACCGTGCTCGAGACGTAAAAATCATCCTCCATAACTGTATTGAAATATGTGACAGCCGATAATACTCATAATACACATGCATGTACATAGCTAACGGAGCACTCTTCCATTGGCAGTGTTGTGTCACCCGTCGAGACAGTTTAAAGGATCTATAGGATCTAGCCCCTGCATGCAGTCATATAAGTACTAAGTACCATCATACCCTATATACCTATCTTGTAAATTGTACAGCAAGTGAACTACATATATATGCCCGATGACTGCGTGCTTGTGCAATGTGTGCACATATTGTACAGTGTGCACACAAACACACATTGTTAAGTTACATTTATTCGCTCACATTGCATGCTGCTATTAAATTTGCTCTGCATGCATAGCAGCACAGCATGGCACGTGAGTTGTTGTTTCCGTAATCATCAAACTCTAGTAACATATAAACTTACTTATCCTTGCCAGAGTTCTCGACTTATTTCTGTTTTGTTTTTCTTCTTTCGAAATTCACAGCGTTCAATTTCGCATGAAAGAAATAGAGAGAGAGAAAGAGAGAAAGAGCGCGCTATATAGGAGTCACCTGAAGTGCCCAACGCTCCTCGCGGAAACAACGAGTAGACGAGGATCCTCACGTCGACTGTTTTTCTCGGATTTCGTGTGCATGCGTGTGTAGTTGTGTACCCATAATCTGTAAGCAATTCCCCCGTGACACACCATCACAATTACTATCTCTAAAAATGTCTTTTACATACAGCTTACGATTATTGTGTTTGTCAGGCTAACGTTTTGCATATATCTCTTTTTTTTTTCGGCTCGGCGTTTCTTTCCTTTCCCTGTGGATGTCGTCTCTGTGCAAATTCTTCTTCTTCAACGACGTCTGCAGTGTGTGCGGAGCAGTGTGTGGGGATCTCTCGCGCTCTCCGATAAGAATATGTTAATCGGCTGCGTTTTCACATCGATTTGAATCCAGAAGTGTACAGTCACGGCTTTCCGCTCCGCAGGTATCGACAGGTCTCTCTCTTTCGGGGACCGCTCTCTCGCGTCTCTCCGATGTCCATATAGTATTATTTTTAATAAATCGAAAATCGTACAATTGACACATTACATGGTATTATTAAATAGCTTTGTTTTCGTCTTTTTCTGACGGATTACAGGCTTCGTCTGGCACAGAGGGCTCCAGTCCAGCCTCTAGTCCAGCTTCAGCTGCCAGCCTAGCTGCAGCAATGGCTGCCCCGAAATTCGGTACCCTCGTGCCGAACCGCATTTTCGTCGGTGGGATATCGGCGAGTACAAGCGAAGCGGAACTGGCCCAGCTATTTTCCGCCTACGGTAATGTCAAGGCCACGAAAATTATCGCTGACCGAGGTGGTGTATCGAAAGGCTACGGTTTTGTCACTTTCGAAACGGAAGAGGAGGCGAAGCGTCTTCAACAGGAGGTATGAATTATCATCGCTTGCGTCATTCGCTTTGTCATGATCCTTTTTCACTTTCTTTTGCACTCTCCAATAACTTTTTTTTTTCTCTGTAACGATAAACTTGTTTATTTACCAATCATACGTTATAGTTACTTTGACGTAAAAGTTCACCTTTACAGCTCGACTAATCAAAGCTTGTGATTTTGATACTTTTGTTGCAGTCCGAGTGCATTGTACTTAGAGAGAGAAAGTTAAATATTGCTCCTGCAATTAAAAAGCAGCCATTTAATCGTTCGTTTGATGGAGGGACTGGATCTCCTCCCGTGGCACCCACTAGTACATATTATTACACAAATGGTAAGTAACTATAAAATGTCATTATAACTTTTGACGGCTTGCAATCGTTTATACATACATAATTTTATCTTAAGAGTGCTCATTGATAAATTAATATGAATCAATTTTTTTTTTTCTCTCTCTCCTAGGAATGGGTATTCCTTACCAAAATGGCATGACCTTCTACAATGCAGGAGCCACAGCGCCAGGTGCTGCGATAGCTCAAACTGCAGATCCAGCCGCGCTTTATCAAGCTGCAGGAGTTTTCGGTACCTAAAATAACAACGCCGCTTGTCCATTGTTAAAAGCAAGAGTTCAAAAAGCATGCTGACTCACGCACACGTGTTTTTTTTTTTTTCTCTTTACGGCTAATTATTCTTGTAACTTGTATGCAACGTAAATACTCTCTCCTTTCCCAGGACCTCAAGCCACTCCAGGTCATCAGACTTACGCACCCATGATGTACCCGGTGCCAGCGCCCTCGCTCTATATGCCGCAACAGTATCAGTATTCCCCAATGCCGGTAAGTTTATCTTTGCTTTAGTGAGTGTTCTTGTGTCTCTCCCCCCTTAATTTTTTTTTTCTTGAGCCCCAAACATATTGGTGATTGTGTCGTTTAAGGAGAGATGTGAGGTGATATAGCGTGTTGGGTTATTTTCCTATTACACTTGTTGAAGTTGTTGAGAGAGCAAAGAAAAAAAAAAAAGAAAGAAAAAAGAGAATGGTTTCACTTGTATTTGTTGATTTAAATGAGTTGTCGTTACGGTTGCGGTTTGACAGACAAACAGTCTAATGGGAGAAGCAATACCACCGGCGTTTCTGCCCAATCCGCAGCAAATGCCTACTTACGTTCTTCTCGACGCTATACAGTATTGAGGTCTAAAGGTACATGGTTAATGCAGCTACACACGTGTCCAGCATGCACGCGAAGATACCTGCTCTGATTAATTTTGTATATTTCTTCTAACTGCACTTACAGCATGCTCAGCAAATGTCGCATGTGCCCCCAAACTACAATGCTATTACTGAGTGTTTTTTTTCTTCTTTGTTTTGATTTAAGGAGTTTTGAGTTTAAATACAGCTTTTGAGTAACTCTAGATGCAGGTCTACATCAACGTTATTTTTAATTATTAATTTTATTTAAGCAGTACCATTTATTCACGTTAATTTCACAAGTTTTTTTACTTGAATATTCGTGTAACTTTTTCTTTCTTTGTATAAGCATACACTAAAAATATTATTTGTAAATACACGTTTCATTTTTTTATTTTCCTTTGTCTATTATGACAAACTTTATTTTTCAATGAATCAAATTTATAAAGTCACGGATGTTTGTACATGAAAACTTATGTGCTGTTGTTAACAGTACGATTTTTTTTAAATATCATAAACTATTCAGTTTTCTAAATTGATTTCTTATAAAAGTTTCCAAAATTTTGTAGTATATTTAGCATTTTTGTTTATTAAGTTCATTCAACGCCAAGTCATGACACATTTAAACAACTTTCTTAAATTATCGTAAAATTTAAGTATTCGAACGTACCAAACATTTTATAGCGACTTTTAAGACTGTTGTTTTTTTTTGTTTTTGTTTTTTTTTCTTTTCAAATTACGTACACCTTATTTCAACTTATAATTTTTCAAAACAACGTGACAAATAATTTTCATGCTACTGGATGTTTGTTACAAGTATAAGTTGTCCCGTGCTGTTAGCTGAAAAAAAATAAATGATTTACTTTGATCACTTGTTCTGTTTAGTATGAGCCGTACTTCCCAGGGACAACCGCTGCCGGGGCGTCATTCATTTACACGAGCAGTGTACCGCAGTCACAGACGGGCGGAAATGGCTCAGGTAACGGTAGTAGCGGTAGCACAACAGGAGCGGCCAGTTCTGGCTCAGCGTCTGGCCCTCCGTCAATGGGTCCCTCGCCACCTCAGTTCCAGACGCACTTCTATGGGCCAGCTAGTGCGCATCATCATTCAGCAGCCATGTCCACTAGTACACCTCACGGGCTGCCTCCGCCGATGGAGCACATTTATTATTCCTATCCACCACCTCAATCGCACGCTCAAGCACCACCCCATCATGGCCCACTTGCCCTTGCATCTGATCAGTTGCTTGTCTACACCACAGAGATAGCTGGTCAACCCATAGGAAATGATTTGCAAGTCAGCCAGCATGAGGTAGGTTGAATTTTGCTTTTGCACTTGATAATTGGCATTGATATTGTATTTTATGATCAACCTTGTTTTATTCCTGGGACTTGGTGCATGTGAATCGCTGTATTTCGTATGACTACATATACATATATTTATTAAACGTAAAATACATCTATTGAGAGAAGTACGTCCTAATCAAAGGGTTGATCAATCAATGCTGTTTTGAATTGATTGTTCTTTACACGGATGAAAATAATCAATCAGAAACTCACACGTTTTACCAACTCTACTACATCGTATTATTTGATCAAACTTCATAAATTCATGTAGTTATATTGAGTAACTTATCTAAAAATGTAATTTCATCTCGTTCGTTTGCTTTTAAAATCCTTTAACGATCACACATTACCATACTATCGTTTTCTTTACATACTAATATAGTCGAAACAAATTATCGAGAAATATTTTGTTTTCAAATTGAATCCTAATGTAGTGTAAATATAATTTAAATTTCATGTAGTATTGAGTTAAGCTTTGCCTCAGCGCGTTTTCCGACTGTTAACAGTATCTTTTATTGACACGTTAGATGTAAAAAGTAAGGTTCGGTTGTGCATTTGCATACTTATGTGTACGCTTTGAAAGTTTCTTACATTTATATTACGCAACCCAGAAAGCACGCAAAATTTTTATTTCGTTTGCAATAAAATTAATTTTGTTATCCTCAAATTAAAATTTTTATAACGAAACGAATATTTTGCATGACTATGTGATATTACTTAATATGATAAGTTTATAAGAATAGAGTTATATGTTGGACTTAAGAAAATAAAAATCCAGACAAAATTATAGCATACATAAACTAACGGTGTTCCGCATTCCACAAAAAACACATGAACGATGCATCCTATCTAGCTGAATCTCCTGTCATGTGATTGTTCTAGTCCCGATCATTCAAAAACAGCACCAAATCGCACAATTATTACAAGTTACAAACTAAACCCATAGGAATCTCGATCGACATCTAATCACTCGGAGCAGCTACAGACAAGCACAACGTCGGACAGTGGCGGAGGCCCCGGTGGCGGTAGTTCCAATCATCATCAGTCTAGCGCACACTCGTCGGACCCCCAAAACCTCACTCACAAATATCCCGCAGTCAATCTCAGTAACCGTTATCCAAATTATCAGAGTATTCCCCAGCCAACAAACACCTCCCTAGCACAACAGCAGCAGCAAGCCATGAACAATGGAGTTTTCACGAGCGACGAGTCGACAAGCGCTGGTGCCCCTCCTATGCACCATTACCGTATCTACTCGACCCCCGTGTACGTCCCACCTCCGGTCACCCAGTACTCCCCCGTCGTTTCCAGTCCTGGCGCCAGTCTCCTTCCCACCCCGCCTCCACCCACGTCTTACGAAAAATTCCGTTCCGACTACTCCCCTGTGAAGCCCGCGGGCGCCGGCCTCGTTGGCAGCAGTCCCTACGCCAAGGGTGCTCCGCTTATTCACCAGTCGCCGACCTACGTTAAGCCATACGGCAGCCTGAACCTCCAATCGTCGCCGTCGTCGTCCACCACACACAACGTGTCAGGCCACCAAAAGTACCAGCCTCGGTTACCCCAGCAGCAACAGCCACATTACGGCAAATCCCGAACTGGAGCCAGCCATCAACAACAGCAGCATCAGCCGACTTTTTACTACTCGGCCAAGGCCTGCCAGTACTCACCGGCAAACGCGCGATCCGGTCAACCACCGGCCTTCGTTTACAGAGGCCCGCAGCTCTCTGCTTACGCTCTACCGCACATGGGTTCTCCTCACAAGGGCTTTCTGAGCACGGCTGGCGAACACCCCCCGGGCCCCGGGCGTAGGAGTGCCGAGCACTCGGACAAGCAGCAAAATGCCCGTCACAAGAACCTGGTCAACAGTTACCGTGGCTCCAATCTCACGATGAGCCCCAAGGCAGGGGCCCCCCCGGCCGGCAGTGGACAAGAACGCACAGCCAGTCCTGCCAACAGCAACAGCGGAGAAACTAGCGCGACCGGGACGACAACCACGGCTACGACGACGAATTGCAGTAACTGCAGTAGTAGTAATGTCGCCGCCACGAGTGGCCCCGAGGTGGCGAACGCGACGGTCTGCAAGCCGGCTAGCGGCGCTCCTACCCCTCCCCCATCCCCGTACTCCCCTACGACGCATCCTCACCCAACTGTCTCACCGTCTCCCAATCCCAACCAGGTCCAACTGTTTGGTTCGAGCGGCCAGCAGCAGCAGCAGCAGCAGCAGCAGCAGCGTTACAACACTCCGGCATCCGGTCTCTCGCAGCAACAGCAGCGCAACACCGGAAGCAGATACCAGTCCTCCTCGTCGATTGGCGGGCGCGTTGGTGGTGCCGGCAAGTCCTCGGGCGTTGTGCGCCAGTCGAGTGGAGCCGGAGGCGGCAAGTACAAAGTCAACGGTATGGTTCAATCCGGCAAGCTCGACGAAACGCCGACGAACCTCGGCGGTGCCGGTGACGCGCCGTCCATGAGCAACCGGCTGCCCTTGACGCCTCCCGGTACACCTCAACAACAGCAACAACCGCAGGGCGAGCAGACGCAACAGCCGCAGATCGGTGAGGCGTGCCATCAGATGCAAGCGCTCAGTCTCTGAAGCGAGTCCGGATAGTAGAGCCCAGCGGGGCCGAGCTAAATGCGCCCTCGTGTCTTCCTCCCGCGTTTTTCGACCGCTGCTCGTGCTCATTCTCGCCCTGACTTCGAAAGCGCGCTCGCGAATCAAGCGGCTCTCGTCGTGTTGTTACGTTGTTATGCTTGTTACGTTCGATTATTACGCGACGTAGTGAGTCCGATCGGCAAGAGGACGAGCCGCGCGCTCTATATACGTATAAATACTGTATGTGATCTCAGAGTCCTTATCGTTCGACGAGCTACGTAATTATTTATATATAAAATTATAATGTATAATATATACATCGTTTACGGCTGTCTGAACAAACCGGTGTTGTTGTTGTTGATGACGATAATGACGCTGCATCGTGCTCAAGCTCACGCGAAAACGATAATTGTAGCGAGGACGACGACGACGACGACGCAGTGACGATTTACGGTGACTTGTTGAATATTTATAGTAAGATAATTTAACGAAAATTATTATGAAAACTTATATAATTCATAAGGTGAGAGAAGTATATATATATATTCAATCTCGCGTATGTATTGCATGGCTACATATACCTATGCATTAAAAAAAAAAAAATACAAAAAAACAAAAAAAAAACACAACTATGCTATACACATTTCAGAAGAAAAAAATGAACTAAAATCCATCTTTTTTTTGACTTTGTTATGATCATACAAGAGCAAAACAAAAATATCGATTATTGCATTAATTTCAGTACATATAACAATTAAACATTACTGCTAAATAACAATAACCGCGCCTTTACGTGCATGCGTGTAACGACAAATATAAAAAAAAAAAACTGATTAGAACGATTAGACTCGACATTAATGGAAGTAAAGCATGAATCTCGCGAGCAAGGCTAGAGTAGGAAAAGATGGATCGGGAGAAGAAAAATATAAAGTTATCGTACAAATATATGATCGATCTGTCATGTGTTCAAAGGATTTAAACGAAATCGGGGTCTTAATTGAGAATAGGCACAACGAGGTCGGTTCAAATGAACGATGAAAGATTAAAAAACAAACAGTGGCTCAATGCACTGCCATCATCCTTATTTTCTACGTAAGTGGTACATAGTACTGACTATTGATTTTCTAATTCTTTCATCTCCTTTTTTTTTTTTTTTTTTTTTTTTTTTTTTTTTTTTTTTTTTTTTTTTTTT